CGGCCGTAGGCACACACAACCACCAAGGAGGACTGCAAAGGCATAGACTGGATCGAGCATAACGACATGGCATTTCTTAACATACCCATCTCAAACTTATACCCCCAAGCACATGGAGCATCATCGGCGTCTCCTTACTTTATTTTCTACAGCAACAAAATCATAGGCAAATGCCACCAAAAAAGGGCCACAGATGGCAAGGATGGCATTTCCTTTGTACCTACTCGCTACTTCTACTTCACGGCCACCTCCAAGCGCTGGAGTGTGTCTATCGGTCGCTTTATTGATACCAAGATAGCTTTCCCATGACCCAGTATGTACTGCATTTCGCCTGTCCATAGCTTGGTACCAAGCGCTCCGCCTGAAGGCGTTGAGCAGGACAGATGGCGGGTCGTTTCCAGTATTGAATTGAACAAACACTTTACATTAACGTGCCATGGCCTCTGCTTGATCGCACTTACAAAATCACTCTATTGTGGCTATTGGCCGTGTTCGTGCCTTCCTAATCCACCTTCCACCGTGTAACGCTAAGTGCCGTGGTTTCCGTTTCCTGCGCTATCTGCCTGACTGCCATCCCTTCCATTCTATCCCATTTCACACCTCCGTATATGCACCTCGTTTCCAGAAACAACCGCTGACCACTAATCGGACAAGATACGAAGTACCATCGCTCTCACAGCGCATACGCACCCCACAGCACGCGAGACTGCTACCGGCGCTAGCAGCAGTGCCGCCTCTGTACCGTCACAGGGCTTAGCAAAGAGCCGTGTATCCGCCGATGACAACTCGTGCCTTGCGGGACTACACAGTAAGCACAGCTCGTTACGAATTCCCACACCCAGACATCCTCTCACAACTGTTCGCCGCCCTCCAATCCGCAAGTCAGGATGTTCCTGATTTGGCACAACAAAAACGATCCACATGTCGCAAATTCACGCCAAACTGTCTACTGACCACTCACACCGCGACGCGCGCCCCGCAACTTAGTGCCAACGTACCAAGATCTTCGCGAAACTTCTCTCATTTGAGAGATATCGACATCACGTCTCACGCCATTTTGCAAGCATACGTTGTACATAAGAGTCATCCTGGCACACTTGAGTGATGGCGGCATCTTTGGACAGAAATTGGGATGGGTCGATACACCGCCTCAGGGAATGCGCGAGCACGTCGTTGTGCATCAAGCGGATGAGGCGCTACAGTATGCAGGGTGGGGTGTTACCGAGGCAAGGTCGGGTGGTTGGTCACACAGCATCCTCGCGAACGCTGCGCCGTTGGTTTGGATTGTGAATCCATCGCGTCGCACAGCCCACCCAAGGTACGTATCTATTTTTGCTCGTTGGCGACGTCAGATCTCAAGGGAGGAATTGATCACATTTTCCCTGCATTCGTTGGCCGGTAGATGCGAACAGCCGCCGTTGGGCATGAGTGTGACGAGACATTCGCACCACGGAAAATCCCATTGATGTGGGTCCTCGGATGAAAGTGGATGCCAGGGCTTCGGGTGTCGGCTGCTACGGAATCCCGGCAGCAGCTGTGTTGAATCAACTTGTATCAAACGGTCTCCGCATCAGCTTGCCAGCGAACAACTGATTTCAAGCTGTGAGTCAACCTCGCCACCAGGTCTAACAGCCAGGAGCTCAGCAAGAAACAACCATCGAGATACCTTGGTCAACGGCATTCTCCATGCTTGGATTCTTACTCGCGGACCGTTTGTGACTAGGGCCCTGAACATCATACTGGATGATCAGGACAATCTTATCGATGGATTGACAGCGTCCTCGCCCGCTCATACAAGCACGTCTCAGCAGAGTTTTCAACATTTGAGGCTGTTATTGGTACACCGGCGCAAGACAGCGACAGGTCTTTGAACCGGAGATGACGGTCCGTTAAAGGACATTAGACGCGTGCAGCTCGCGATAGATCAGCATCACCGCCAGACAGGACTTGCTCGGTGGGAAATTACTGTGCACTGCCATCCACCACCACCTTTGGCTGACTTCACTCAACAGTGGTGGGTATAGCCGTACATATGCCGCTTCCTACCGCTTTTCGCATTCCTGAGCCATCTTTCTAACCCCTACAGTACAGCACACGTCTACGGTCTTACTGTGTACAGCTTTACAGATCACGGTTCTCTCGATGCGCCGCTGTTTCATGCCATATCCGGAAAACTGGACGAAGAAATGCGGAGCTGGTCCGGCATCCTTCATATGCATGAGCGAATCAGCCTGTTCCGAATCGCAATTGGCCGGATTTTCCCCGATCAAATTTACCAATGACAGAAAACCAAACACGCACAATTATGAAATCGTGATGACAGCAACATCGTTTGACATGCTACGTCAGTGGCGTCAGTTGCCCAAGTTCATCAGCTAGGGTTAGCGAGGTAGCCCTGCTCCCGCTCACGGGACTCACTAACTAAATGTAGGCAAAGTCTTTCACGCTCCGCTTTCGGACGACACTCGCCTTTGTCAACACAAACCAACAAAGATGCCCAACTTTTGACACAGACTATGCTATTATTTCGTGACGCATAGTAGACGTATCTGGACAGTCTATCAATCCACCTCACCGTCACTGGTGTTCGAACCGTACCCACAGTTGATCGTATGTACAAACAATGTCAGGGATTTCGTTCCCCACACAGTCGAGACAACTTCTCCACACATTTTTCCGCGGAAATGCATTGAAAAACTCGCTTTCGCATCAATAGCTGCACCCCGCACTATGGAGTGCATATCATTGCGCTCCAGAAAAGCAAGAGTCAAAGTCTCCCTAATACTGACCTGAGAATACCGGGGAATAGCTTACCACCTCACGGAAGTCGGCACAAATCTTCTTACGTACACTGACCTGTATTGACCTGCTTTCTTATAAGGAAGGGGGAAAAGTGTGGGGTGTCCCCTGCCTCGCCTACGCAGGCTTTGAATTTTAGTACGGCATATGGCGTCCTGGATACCAGGTGACTTGTCGTAGTATACTGTACGTCTTTTCATGGCTGAAAGATACTACGTGAGATCCATGGCACTGGTGACGTTTCGAGTACTGTAGATGCATGAGATTCTTCTCCTACGGCATCATACCTAAGTGCGTGAGGCCTTTTGCAAGTGTAGCACCAGTTGTGACGCAGTGGCAGTGCCGAACATATCAAAGCAAGATGTTGTGTTATGATGAAGCGATTTGCTGTATGCACGGGTTGATTGGGGGGAAGTTGCCGTAGCTGAGTGAAGATCATCAGGCGGTCTCCAAGGATGAGATATCTCCGGTCACGACCTCTGGAATAGGACAGTTTAACAACCTCTGTCAATCTCGATGAGAACTTTACACTTCTGATTGTGCGATGTGCGAACGAAGTATGCTCGGGGGTAAAGACCGTGTGAAGCTCACCATGAGACACGAATCAGGGGGAGCTTGAGAGTATGTGTATGATGTGAGTAATAAGAAAGCAGTTGACTGATGAGCGCATGACTGAGCGCATTAGGTATATTAACACTAAATCCTTCCCAGTAACATCGCAATAATGGCAAATGCGAGTGTAACGTCTGGTGTCTCTCTGGAAGCCCTGGATAAAGTTCCATGCGTTTATTAACTTTGCGTTCGGGTTGATTACTTTGCTCATTACTTCCTTGTCCCGTTCGTGTCTGTCCAACAGTGAGTCAACCTCGACAGATTGTCGGGCCCCGTGACCTCGACCTTCATGACCTCTGATTCTGAGTTACGTTCGGTAAACTCGTTGTTGACTATGGAAGCAGTACATGTCCGTAGACACAAATACAGCGTACATGCTTCTGCGGTAACTCTATTAAAATGCCTATTGTACATAAGGAAGGTGATATTCACGTGGTCTATCTTAATGTAGCTCTGGGACTTAACGTTAGCATGTCTATTGGCCTGGTAAAAGTCTCTGGTTTTAGTTGAACTTGAGTAAACCCACAGAAAATTTTGTCGTACGGAAAACTCCTGTATGTTATGTTAGGACTAACTAGCAGCATAGAGATAGTAGTATCTTTATATATGCCCGTATTCTCTTGAGACCGAAAAAGAGAAGCAACATCAATACATTAGCTACACATACCCACAGTTAATGTGTTGTAATCTCTCCATCAAAGGCATCTTCACTTTGCGGATTCCATAGGCCACCATTTAGAAACGTGCAGTTTCTTGTAGTACAGCTTGCGGTTATCTGACTCTCTGCGCCATACGGATCTCATATGCTAGACCAGACTGCGAGCATGATATCTGGCGCAGTAGTCCCGATGCCAATACTAAGAGGGCAACGCCGCCACGACGAGGGACATAGTGTGCAGAATGGAGTGACGCATTCAATCCAGGACTCGCGAACGTACATTCTGCAAGTATGAACATTTCGGCCCCATATCACAGTGGCAATATTCTATGAAACTAAAGAGAAGCTTGTGGTTTGCACAAGATACCAAGGTCAAGGACTTTAATGGGGTATAGAGGTTGACTAGACATGAATGCCTAATGGTAACAAATTAGGTTAAGCATGTCTCAGGACGAGATACAGGATTGGAGCGTTAATGCTATAATGGCGTTTTAATATGAATTTATCTGCGCCGTGCTGCCTCAAACATCGCCAACCGCGCTTTGTGTCGCGGGACTTCTTCACATATTCTCACTCCTTCTGACAATCATCGGTCAGTCTCTATGAACACGAACGACCGTACAGCAGGTCATAGCGTGCAGTCTACTGTCCAGCCTCGCTCCGCGTGATGTGATACTGTTCATGTTAAGCACACTTTATGAGGCTGAAGGAGAGCCCCGCCGTGTTGTGTTCTCGATTCTGACTCACTGTCTGTGTTCTGCCTGTAGTGAAAGCAAACGCCTATGGCCTCGTTCTCCACTTTGATCAAAATCTGTGTCTGCAGTGTAAACAAACGCCTGCGCGCTCAACAAACACTTCTAAAAACTCTTAACTCTCACTACCACTATACTATATATATAAAAGCTTCATTCTCTAATCAACTAACAATCTAGGTAGCCTGGCCTAGCGGTCATTAACACAGGTTCTGGGAGGGCGCCCGGCCGCGGTGCCGACCGCAATAAGAAATACAGGTCGTGGGTTGCCACGCCGGGGGTCACCGGTTCGAGTCCGGTGGCGGGCAATAGACCGCTAGGCTTTGGTTTACACATTTTTGTTTGTTTTCTTTTTGCGTTTCATAGGCTTAATATCAGTCCCTTGGCTAGGCTTTAACTTTTTGTTTGTATCTTTGTTTGTATCCTTATTTTTTGGGCATGGTTTTGGGGTCTGTTCCACGTTATAGTCTATGATCGGTTGGATACGTTGGATGCGGCGCACACTGTCTGTACAATCCGTGAGCCTAGCACTTGTGGTCATGGAGGATGTTCCTGCAAACTTGCATTTGGCACAAATTGTGTTTCGATAGAGACAGATTCGCCAAAGTGCTCAACGTTGATGTTAGATGTATGCTAACCCGGCCTCTTGGGGTGCTTGCTAGGATAGGGGATTATAAGAGAGAACGTACACCTATTAGTTCGCAATCACCGAGCCTGTACCTAAGTATTATGTAACATACCTCGATTTCTACGTACGTAGAATGCCGGATCTCGTCAATTCGATGCTTTTCTCGCAGATCTCGATGGACATCTTGCTGTTTCTGTAGTTTATGAACCAATCACAAAGGTCGGATGACTAGCCTACTCCGACAATTATCGGGAAACGCCCAATGTCATCGGACCTCAGCTCGCCAACTCAATTCCCACAATGCTTGAAACTTCCAGAACAAAATCTACGGGGTATAGCCTCCTTTTCGAGTTTGCCTCAAATCCCGGCGTTAAGAAATGTCTTACGAATAGAAGCAGTGTTTATAATCTGAACATTGATCTGTAAGGAGTTGCGGAGTTCCCCCAAGGCGTGATGAACCAATCATGGTGTGGCGGGGTAGCCATATCGAGGTAATAGTGGGGTCATGGCGATGCATCTGGTTACGTCGACCATATGAAAGGCACGATTCGCAGTGGTGTTTGGACGGAGATAAAAAGTTGATTGGCGGAGAAAGTAGGCGAATGGGGGATCTGAGAAGGTAGATAAAGAGCGAGCTTGCTGGCCCTTGATTGAATATTTTCACATCACTACTGCACAACAAGACTCATCTTGCGATTCATACTTCTTACGATCTTATAAACATACCTCACGAATTGAACTGATACGTCACAATGGCGCCATCTATTCCCTCCAAATGCCGCGCAGTTGTCATTGAGAAACCGGGCGCACCATGGGCGATCAAGGATGTCCCTGTGGAACAACCCAAACAGGGTGAAGTTCTGATCAAGGTACAAGCCTGTGGTATCTGCCATTCGGATAGCTTCATGCAGCAGGGAGCTTTTGGAGATGCGTGAGTATTTCTCTCACAATTGCCAATACCTTACGTTTGTCACAGCGATTGACAATCCTTAGAGCATCTTTCCCTCGAATCCCAGGTCATGAGGTCATAGGGACCGTCGTGGCCGTTGGCGATGGCGAGAAGAAGTGGAAAGTCGGGGATCGTGTGGGTGGAGGCTGGCACGGTGCTCACGACGGGACATGCAAGGCTTGTAATAAAGGACTGTTCCAGATCTGCGAAAATGAGCTCATTAATGGTGTCTCGAGAAATGGCGGATGTAAGTTGGAGCGCTTCCTGAATAATGACGTGGGAGGTACTGATGGTATGCATAGACGCGGAATACTGCACTCTCCAGACCGAAGCAACTGTGAGAATCCCAGAAGATGCTGATCCGGCCGAATATGCGCCACTTCTTTGTGCGGGTGTGACAGTCTTCAACGGTATCAGGAAGATGGGCATCACGCACGGAGATACGATCGCAGTCCAAGGTCTAGGTGGACTTGGTCATCTGGCCATCCAGTATGCGCGCAAGATGGGCTACCGAACTGTTGCGCTCTCGACGAGCTCCAACAAGAAGGATTTCGCTATGCAACTTGGTGCAACAGACTACATTGACACCAGTAAGGAGAACGCGACAGAGGCGCTGCAGAAGATGGGTGGTGCCAGCCTCATCGTCGTGACGGCGCCAAACCCAGAGATCATGGGCCCGCTGGTCAATGGCTTGGGACCGTTGGGCAAGTTGTTGATCCTCGCTCGTAGGTCCCCCTATATTGCTACTCAGGACAGAGTTTTAACCATGTACAGCTGTGGGTGAAGTCCCAATTAACACTGTCTCGCTTATCATGGCTGGCCGTTCAGTCCACGGTTGGCCTTCGGGACATGCGCTTGACAGTGAAGAGGCGATAGATTTCGCTGAGACCCAGGGCGTAAAGTGTATGGTGGAGAAATTCCCATTTGACAAAGTCGAGGATGCTGTGAAGCATATGGAAAGTGGAAAAGTGAGATTCAGGAGTGTGATCGTGATGGAGTAGAACGCGACGAGCAACGTCATTTGCAAGAGCAATTATAAGTGGAGGTAGCACGAAAAGTACTAGGCTTCAATGGATTATGACGAAACAGTGCTGGAATGAAACGAGTTCTGTTCATGCGACTGATCTTCTGATGATAGGTACGCGTGTTTCTAGGACGATGGATGGTGAGAGGTGATATCTGATTCGAGGATAAGAGACGGTGTTTGGAGCCAGGTTTCGAAGTCCATCGATGTATACGCGGTCTTGTATATCTCTGTCAAACGATCGTCAGACCAGGACATGTGGAAGAGCTCTCCCGTCAGCATCAGGGCACGTGAGTAACCGGTGCTGCTGCTCCAGGACACATGTGCCTCTGGCGCAGAAGCGAGAGGTGACAGTTCGCAGCACCAAGCTCCCTCTGCAATTCGGTAGACGCCGTTCCTGAATAGTACGCGCGACACACTTGAGGAACGAACGACTGTCGTCTCGTCCTACATGAGCTGAAGCGCGTTCCTGTCTCAGGGGCGCATTCGTAACATCTAACGCTGAGGTGGCCAATCCGCGGCCAGCAAACAGCCTCGATACTAACCCCAGTCTGCCCCGTCTGTTTCAGAAAATGGGAATCCCGACCACTTGCAACAAGCAACGCACCTCACAACCAAAACAGGGAGCGTAGGTCTTTCAAAGCGCGGCCAATTGGTATCCCGCCTCCTTGTTTAAGCATGTCTCTGGGTAGGATGAGCGGCGGGAGGGGAAGTTCCCTGCAGATCTGCCTTAAGACCTGCCTATCCGCAGGTACCGGCACGAGTTGATGATCTCAGGTCCGCGTCCGACATGGCATGAGCGACTGTACATCACGATAATCGTCTCCTCCCTTCTTCCTTTTTAGACTTCGCTTCTGCTTCTCACGCTGCGCGTCTTTCGTCTGTCGTTCTGCACTCTCCTTCATTTGCTCCCCTTGCAGGCCCGGCGCCAGACTTGTCTCTCTCTCACGACTTCCCCTCCTTTGTGTGTCTCATTCGCTCCTTTGCCTTGCAGCGCTGGCTCGAGTCGTGCTTGAATAGCAGAAGCATAGAAGAAGTGCAATTGGCCAGGTCGCATACAGCACACAACTGTTGTCATACTCGCTGTCTCAGCTCGTGATACTGGAGATTGAATCGCACTACTGAGAAGTGCATGCGCATCTTCGTATCGAGACTGGAAAGAAGATAGTGAAAGTGTTCAAGATTGGTTGCTCGCAGCAACGTGTAAACGGCCGACCATCACATTATTGCCCCGTCGGTAGCAGCGCATTACGAAACTTTACACACCACAAACGACCTGCGTCTCAGGGACGTCACTCCGCTCATCCAAACACCGTTCGTCTCAGAAAGTCCGGTGTAGGGCTTCCTGCATCGTGAGCGACACCCGAACATCGACATCGACTTGTGCTTGGACAACACACTCACTCACCCTCGACGACGGCTCACGAGTCTCGAACATCGCTCTCTAATTGCTGCAAGACACCTCATGATGCAGTACTCATCGCTTCGCGCCGTCATATTCGGCCTGGTCGCCCTCGCTGGCACTACCTCCGCAACGGTGTCACTCGCCAGCTTCATACCGCGCATCGACAACCTCCCCACACAATGCGCAAACGTCTACAACGCGAGGATTGAGGGCTGCACGGCCGACGACTTCAAGTCCACGGCAACCTGCAGTTCGGCCTGCGTGCAAGGGCTTGTGAAGATCACGGAAGCGGTCGCCAAGGACTGTAGCAATGTCGATGCGGGCGAGACGTCGATCATCGGGGTCTTTCAGAATGGTCTTGGAATACAGGCGCTGTGCCCGGGTGTCACAGTTACGATCATATCTTCGACGTCATCGAGTACAACAGTGGCTGCGCAGACCAGCACTTCAGCAGTCGCTTCAACGACGTCGACGACGTCAACAACATCTACTTCGGAAACGACGACCAGCGAGCCGTCGAGCACATCGTCAGGTGGATTGATCACCGACCCTGGCGCGACTGGGACCTTTGTGGCATCGACTGTCAACGCGCCGGCTACAAGTGCTGCGCAACCGTCGTCGGCTGAGCCTCAGAGCTCAGCGAGTACAAGCCAGAAAGTGAATAGTCAACTCTCGAACTCGGATTCAGGAGGCGGCTCACCCTTTGATGTGGTTGCGACAGGTTCGTCCTCGCGACTTCGAGTCATCGATGTCAGCGTGGCATCCCTTCTTGCAACATCACTGCTCTTTGTCGCGTGGGCATGAAGTGACCGTTCGGCATTGCGCATTACTGTCAACAATCTCCTTTTTGTTCTAAGCATTGCCTACATGGCTACGACATGGCGTTCAGGATGATGGTTCATTTGTACCATATACCCGCACTGGAAATGACACAAAGCTCAGCCAGTTTAGTACGACCAAGGAGGACATGGGCAGGTCGACCTACCCAGAGGATCCAAGTGTCCCATGAAAAATCATGTACAGAAACACAAATCTCATCAAAAAGATGTGAATAAACACAAAACATGAAATGGAATGAACAAATGAAACGAAGTGACACAATTTCTTGATGTGACACTCCATTGTTTTTTTGCTGAAGACCACTTACAATTGCGTGGGCCTACTCACTCCACCGTCAAATAACTCCAAGAACCCTAAATCATCCCCTTGTCGAGCTCTGTAGCCCCTCGTGGTCATTAGACCTGCTGCTAAGAGTAGGACCCTTGTTGCCGAAGCGAGGAAGCTGCACCCCAGGGCCCAGATGTGACGCG